TCTTCACCTCCCTTTCTTGACATCCCTTAAGCGCCTGGAGATTTCCAATTGTGTCCACAACGCCGCCTTGAGGCATCTCTACACCATGACATGGCTGGAGGAGCTGAAACTTGAATCACACACTTTTGATGATTCAGTGATTCTGGGCATCGGGAACCTGTCTGCTCTCCGTCGTCTTGAACTGATAGATGCAGGGGTTTCAGAGAATGGGCTGGCTCATCTGACATGCCTTGGCTCCCTCAAAGTCCTAATTCTTTCTCGTGGTAAGAGCACTTTTTCGGCTGGCATGGTTCATCTGAGCAAGCTGACATGGTTGGAGGAGCTGAAACTTGAATCTTACAATTTTTATAATTCAGTGGTCTTCAGCAACCTCACGGCTCTCCGTCGGCTCGAACTGATACAAACTTGGGTTTCAGATGATGGGCTGGCTCATATGACATGCCTTGGCTCCCTCAAAGTCCTTGTTCTTTCACGATGTGGTAATAACATCTCATCGGCTGGTTTGGTGCATGTGGGAAAGCTGACATGGCTGGAGGAGCTCAAACTACAATCGCATCATTTTGATGATACAGTGGGTATGGGCATCAGCAATCTGACAGCTCTTCGTCGGCTTGAACTGCGAGATACACGGGTTTCAGAGGATGGGCTGGCTTATTTTACATGCTTTGGCTCCCTCAAAGTCCTCATCCTACGTGATGAAATCTCAGGGGCTGGCATGGTGCATGTGGGGAAGCTGACATGGCTTGAGGAGTTAAGACTTGAGTCACACTTTTCCGATGATTCAGTGGTTCCGGGAATCAGCAACCTGACAGCTCTCCGTCGGCTTGAACTGATCGAGACGCGGGTTACAGATACTGGGCTTTCCCATTTGACAAACCTTGGGTGCCTCAAAGTCCTTGTTCTCTCTTGCGCCCCCTATAACCATTACTATGCCAACAATCCTTTTTCATCTGCTGCCATGGAGCACGTGGGGAAGCTGACGAGTCTTGAGGCACTAGATATCGGTGCGTTGGATGTGAGGGACGATGGGTTGGCTCATCTTTTGCCTCTGTCAAAGCTGACATGGCTCAGCCTGCCAGGGTACATCAGTCATCAAGGCATGGAGCTCCTGAAACAGTTTGAATTCCTCAAGACGGTTTGGTTGAGGACTTCTTTTCATAACTGTCAGCATGACATCGAGTGTTTGAGGAGCATTCCATGTCTTGAGAACGTTGGAGTACAAGACTGCAAGACTGCAGCAAGTGTTACAAGGGACCTTCCTGATGTGAATGTTACTGTGTTCAGCAAGTCAGAGACGTATACCGGTAGTGTTTAGGTTTTGTGACTTGTGTTTTGGGTTTCTGGTGTAGGTCAGCTTCTTTATGATGAAAGACTGATTCTCACTCCAACCTATTCGTTATCCTAAATATTTTGTCTTGTTATTAACCTGTCCTGCGGTGGACATTTTAAAACGTGATCATTTTGTGCTGTTTTCTACACTCAAAGCTACATCAGCTTAGGGTTTTTGTGAAAAATATTTGTAACATCTCAAAGTACCTTCACAGTAAGTCCTGTAGTACGCATCAGTTCATACATCCTTGATCTTCCGGTTGCACAGAGGGCACACATGCAGCACACCAGTCTTCCTCCTCGGCATCTCGATGCACAGTGCACACACAGCTCACCACCTCCGCACCGTCACTCTCCTCCCCTCCAATCATTTCACCAACCGTAGCTCTTCCTCTCTCTCCCCCTCTTTATCCTCCTGCCCCTCCTTGGCCCCGCCTGCCCCTGCGTCTCTCCTCTTCCTCCTCCTCTGCTCCTCCCCTCGATCTCTCCACCCCATGTGCCTTATGCGCCTCCCCAAGCGTGGGTGTGGGTGAGAGCAGGGCTATGAGTTCATCTGAAGGGCACCTGGATTCGCAGGCCTCCCAGGACTGTTATCAGTGGTACACCTGCTCCTGCTACAGTACAGTCAAACAGCGCCTTTTTGTCCCTACCTCGGAACAGCTCATACAACTGCTGCTGCTGCTACTGAGGCTGCTGGTGTTTCAGGTACTGGTATTGGCTTCCCCATCTCCTGCATTTCCATCCTCGTTAGTAGGAGTCTCGCTACAGGTTAAGAGCATGCACTGCAACGAAAGCAGCGGGACCGCTGCCGCTGCTGCTGCCTCTGTTTGTGCATTCTCAGCACCACCGCCACCAATGCTGCCACCGCCACCACTGCCACCACTCACACCCTCACCCTCACCACCACCACTAAAGTTGTTGCCCAAATGCAACACCCCAACGGTGTGACCGTCTCTTTCACTTCAAATTAATGGGGAGCCCATGTGCAATTACGCGAGCGAATGCAAGGCTGCTGCTGTGGCCGAATGGAAATCAGAAACGACGGTAGTGATCTGGGCAGCACATTGACTCTCTCGCACCGACCCCTTCTCTCCCTTCCTCTGCCACCACCCTGTTCCCCCCCAAAAGCTTCACTAGTCGCGTTTGTCCACTCATCGGTTGCTTCTCTACCTGCCTCCTTCTTGACAAGGGCTCAGAAATGGCTTCTACGCTTGCTGCTTCGCGTGTTGGGAAAAACACAGTACTCATCCATCCATGGGAGATGATGCTGCTGCAGCTGTTGCCCTCGCGCCTGCCACCACTGCTACTCCCCTTTTCTGATTCAGCAGATGACTCTTAATCTCATGGTGGAAAAAGCAGCGCCCATTCATCCATTCATCCATCCATGGGAAATGATCCTGCTGCAGTTGTTGCCCCTGCCACTGAAACCGCCTGCTCACCTTCCTGCTTCAGCAGATACTGTATCTGCTGCTCTTCCTGCTCCTCCTGCTGTTCCTCAAGATGCTCCTGCTGATGTTGACCAGAAACCGGCAGATTGAACAGATGGGATAGCTCAAACGGGTGAAAGAGTGCTTAGGGTCCTGGAGCAAGGCTGGGCACGAACGGATTGTAGGGTGTACGTTGGAACGCGAAGACTTCTAGCTCACAGAGGAGAGGACCTGTAGGGCTTGGATTGCTGCAGCAATTTTGGCTGTAAAGTTGGCTGTAAGGGGCCTGCTGCAGCCAACCTTACTCCAGGTGTGGATTGCTGCAGTAGGATTCGGCTGTAAAGCTGGCTGTAAGGCCTGCTGCGTGTGATCAGTATGGGAACACCTGTGATGTGACGCGTGGATGGCGCTGGTGGTAACATGGTGTCCATGTGGTGACGCACCCGAGTTTGCAGAATCGAATGATGGTAACTGCCTGCCGCTGCCGCTCCTTCTGCTGCCTTAACAATTGCTGCTGCGCCGCTGGCTGCTGCTGCTCACCTGCCGCTGCTGCGGCTTTGCCGATGGCAAAGGGGTTGGACATGGATAGTACCGCAGCAATGGCGGGAGGGTGCGATAGGAAAAGGTGCAACAGGGGGAGCTGCGATGGAGGAGGTTGGCATAGCTCCAGGACCAGCCCGCTTCCAGCATGATAGTGATCAGTCAGGTTCATTATCAGGTGCTTTGACAGGCTTGTGCCAGGTACTTGCTCCGGTGCTACACAACGGACACCCCTCCCACTCCATCTGTCAATCCACTCTCCCAAGCTCGCACCCCCCTCCTCCGCTTCCAAACTCCTCGTTCTTACTCAACTCTTCCGCCTCCTCATCCCAAAAATTCAAAGGCTGAATTCAGTTCGAAATCGTGGGATACCTTGGGGTATCGCTTCCTACGTTACCCCATAGTTGCCTTCAAGATGCCAACAGGAAACATGTAGGGAACAACGACGCGGGCGAATTTTGTCACCAAATCGTTTACGATCGTGAATATGAATTCGACGAATCAGGATGCAGCGAAATTTGACGTCACCCCAAGGGAACCCCTCCTGCTTCGGAACGAGGCTGGTCAGCTGGTTTGCTTGCGCTGTTTCGGCAACCGAAGCTGAAACCCAAGCAATCTCACGGTACAATCTTTTATAACAACGGCAGTGTAAATCATACAGCCATTAATAACGAACCTCCCCATATCAAGGTGTAATTTGATGGGTTTCGCAGGGAGGCAGGCAAAATATCGCTGACCAATCACAGCTCTCCTCGTCACTACAGCAAGCAAGACAGTTCATTCGCCAAGTACTTTACCACCCTTCCCCTGACGTTCTCTCATTCTTCATTGTTGATCCATCAAGTTCACACTGACTATCTTCATTCTCTCATTCTCCCCCTGACTATCTTTCGCTCTATTCCTCCCGCGCTAAGTTTCCCTAGCTCCGCGTTTGTCGCTACACAGAGCGTCACTTCCTTAAAGCTATGCATGCACGCTAAGAGATTAGGTTTCTTTATCAGCCTGCTATTTCACCAGCTACGTATTGGAAAATTCCGTGATGACGAGGACTAATGACGTGTTTATTTGATTATTGCGTCTTCATGGCAGATTACCCGTGGTTGGATCGACGCGTGATTCTTCGCCAGCATCGCGTCTATTCTGCTTTAAAAAGTGCTTCTGAGGTAAGCTAAAGGGCTTTGATTTACCAGGGAATGCTTTCCGGCAGTTGCCTAATCAGCGCCATTTATTCGGTGTTGCTTCTAGTCGTCATTTTTGTTTGTCACGGGCGCTGTTCTATTTGTCAGCCACCCGGCTGGTACTGGCTTTCTCGTCATGGTATTTCTTTCATTGCAAATCTTTGCCATTGCGCCGTGGTTGCAAATCTTTGCCATTGGGCAAAAGTTGTTGAACAATGAATCACCTTTGGCCAAATCGTGCACCCATTCGTGATGGGGGCCTCTGGAGTGCCGGAGAAAGAAGCAAATTCCGCAAAGCATTGTCTTTGTTCCCTTGGTTGGAGGGGGTTGAGAAGAACCCTTGTGTATCGTTTCCTTCAAACGAGGGCTCAGGACGGCTGAATGGGCGTCCGCCTGATGCTGGACTGTCAACCCCACGGCCATGTGTAGGTGCAGGGAGGCCAGGAATGTGAAATGGACCTGCAACAAAAAAACGGTGGTCAGAGATATACAGATTACGGTAATTCTGCATAAGGATGAGTTGTACCTTGGTTCTGCCTCTTTCTCCCAAGCTCCATACTGTCAGGTGTAGGAACATATGCAGCTTGTGCTCTCACTCGAGCAGTCGAAGGGCGCGCTAAGCCTGGCGTTCCTTGCTTAAGGGACTCATACTCGCCCCTCAACGACTCGTACATCTCTTCAAGCTTTCGTTTTTGGCTGCATAACCACAGCAAATTATCTGCCGCTGCTTGAGAGAAGCAACGTAATGTGATGTGAAATCTACTGGTCTTACCGTGCCTTTTCTGCATACTTCTGCTGGAGTTCCGAAACATCCTTCTCCATGTTCTGTTTCTCCTTTTGTAACACATGGTTTTGCTTGAGAGACTTTTGCAGCGCCCCGTGAACTTGTTCCATTTTTGCCATGAACCTGCAATACATACCATGCCGGGCTTAGGCCAAAAACAGATAAGGATTACACAAAATGCACCACGTACTTCTCTTGCATTTGTTCCAGCATCTGCTTTGACTGTTCTGCTGCTTGTAGTGCCATCTGATTTTCAACTTCCATCTGGCCAATATAAAAGCCGATGCCCTTAAAGGCGCATTTCATAACTGAAAGAGAGCCAAACGTATGGTCCTCGATTAGAAAGTGGAAGCTTATAAAAAAGGATCGGCCGAGGATACTTACTTGATCCTGGAGGGAGCCCTGCGAGCAACATCTGCAGACAAATAGGCGGTCATTTACATTCACATTGAAGGCTACTGCTGAGCAGAAAAAATGACAAGAGGTTTACGGTAGCGGTAGTGTCGTCAATGCTTGTCGTGATAGCCTTCGTGTTCCTGGTTTATTAACAAACATATTATTTCGGTTCATCGCACTCTTAACAACGTCACGAAATAGCATTGCCTGACCCTTTCGACAGTATCTTCTCGCATCTCGGGCATGATGAATCCATTGATATGATCTTTTTTGCATCGTCCAGGCCTGACAGGTAATTGCCGTAAAAAACGTCAATCACCTGTGCCGTGGGAAGACATCGGGGGGGAAAATACTGTAAATCTCACAGAAGACATGTCCGCAATGCGTCGCTATAGCTTGCCCTTCAATATCGGCCCAACATGCGTTGCATTTCATGATTGAAGTCGAGGAATAAGGAATACACGGGTAGAATGAAATCCTCTTCGTTCGTGATGAGGCTAGACAAGCATCGAAATGCTCGGCATCTTGTGCTAGACGAGATTGGATGGATCCCACAGCACAAACAAACTGCACCAACAAATGACCCCCAGAAAAAACACAAAAGACTCGATACAATCATATCACCAAAATTCAGTCAGGGTACTTACATCAGTTACGACTGTGGCTTTATACTTATATAGTGTACTTCCAACCCCAAAAAAAAAAAAAAAAAAAAAAGATATACGGTATCCAAGTGTCCACCATACAGAAATGAAAATAGCTACACATTCGCCTTTGCAACTGATCTATCAGGTTGGTTGACGGGCTATAGCATCTGTTACAATGAGTGTCATTCCGTAACATTCCTGGCGAAACTTCTACAGCAAAGCGTAACGAGGAGCAACTAAAACAGGGACGGAAAAAAAATCTCATGAAGGCCACAAAAGTTCGGGAAACAAGAGACGAACAGAGTCGCATGCATTTACCAAGTTATTTAAATGTACTAGGGAGCAGAATATGTGACTATGTAGGACCTTTCTGTCAAAAAATTGTATGCTTTGTTTGATAGCCTCTAATGAGTTCCATGCTAGGGGGTACAGCATATCACTCGACACTCTCCTTGTACCCCCACCCCTTTGACCTAATCCATCACTAAGTTGTTCCTAACTCTAAGGGTACATTCCTGAAGCGCGTCACAAAGGCCTCGCGTCTCAATCGAAGAGATGCAGTGCGGTGGAAATGTTCGACACTTAGGTGTAATGCGGTGCAGACTGGTACAGAGGTTGTATGACGCGATTGAGACATTTGTGTCAAGAGCGGAATGTACCCTAAGACTAAGTAGATTAGACTATGAGATGGTATCAGATAGGTTTCGTTCCTCACCTAGGTTAGCTCGCCCCGCCCCGTCGCGTCGCCTTCATTAGCAGGTCGCGCCCTGCCCCGTCCCGCTCGTAAGCAGCAACTGCCCCGCCTCGTCCCGTACGCCACGCGCTGCCTGACCCGCGATACCCGCCCCCTTCCTGTCCCGCCCCGTCCCGTCCCGTCCCTACTCCAGCCCCATCCCATCGCCTGCTCCGTCCCGTCCCTACGCACGCAGCCAGCACGCGCATTGCGCCCGCGCAGCCCGCGAGCGCAGCCCGCTAGCGCAGCCCGCACGCCCTGCCCGGCCCGCGCTACCTACCCCGTGGTCATCCCGTCCCGTCCAGTCGCCCGCTGCCCCGCGCTGCCCGCTGCCAGCGCTGCTCCGCCCTGCACCCGCGCGCGTGCGCAATAGGAACTGCACGCACTGCAGAACCAGCATGCACTGCAGCTCGCACATGCAGCGCGCCTAGCAGCGCGTACATCCCGCACACACAACAACGGCAGGTCACCAGAGGCGTGGGATGGCAAACGCGTGTCGGGATGGCGTGACACGCCGGGATGGCGACACGCGTGTCACGTGTCACGCCGGGATGGCGACACGCTCAGGGCCATGCGTGGACGGTGACACTTACGCTCCACTGGCCACGTTTGAGCGGGACCCAGACTGCTCTGGTCCCTACACACTGCACACTCACTCTCCCCAGGTCGCCCCGTCTGGTCTGGTAGCTGCATCTGGTCAGGTTGCTGCGTCGTGTTCCTGTCGGTCGCTCGCCCACCCTACTTTCCTGTGGCACCACCGTCTTGGTCACCCGTCCCTCCCGCGTCTCCGCAGCATGGCTAGCCAGGGTCTTGTCTCAGGTCTCCCGCGCGTGCTATTGTCGCTCCCTCATTCGGCTGTGCGCCACCCCTCACTCCTCCTCCCTTCGTCCGGCCACCGCGCCTTTCCAGACTCTCCACTAAGATGTCTGGGGCCCCGCCCCTCGTCTTGGGCCTGAGAGGGACAGCTTCTTTCTAGTGGTCGTTGACGGCTACTCCCGCTACACCACAATCTTCCCCCTGGCGAAGAAGTCCGATGTAACTTCTACGCTGTGCAAGTGGTTGCTGGCCACTGAGGCCACCCGTGGTAGTCTTGTCGTTTGTCTCCACTCCGATTGTGGGGGCGAGTTTGCCCCGCCGTTCTGCAGCGAGCAGGGCATCACCCAGTCCTGGACGCTTCCGGAGTCCCCACAGCAGAATGGGGTTGCTGAGCGCCACATCGGCTTGGTCATGGACATTGCCCGCACGTCCATGATCCATGCCGGTGTGCCCCATTTTCTGTGGCCCTACGCGGTTCGCTACGCCGCCCACCAGCTAAACATCTGGCCTCGTGTCTCCCGACCAGGGGCTTCACCGACCAGTCTTTGGACCGGGTCTCCTGGTGTTGCGTCGCAGTTTCGTGTCTGGGGCTACCTTGCGCTTGTCCGCGACACCTCTACGGACAAGCTCTCGGCTCGCGCCATCCCCAGTGTCTTCCTTGGTTTCCCGGTGGACGCCCCTGACTACACGTTTTACCACCCACCCCTCCACCAGTTTCTCGACTCTCGTGAAGTCGAGTTTGTCGAGTCTGTGTCCTACTTCGTCCGCTACCCTAGCCGAGGTCTCCCGGTTCCCCCCCCTCCCCTTTTCCTCGCCCCTGCTCCTCCTCCTGCTCCCGCCCCTCAGGTGCCCCCGCCCCCCCCTGGTCCTGCCCCGTCAGGTGTGTCCCACCCTACCCCGCTCCCCGCGGTAGCACTTCCGGTCCCGTCTCCCTCCCCACAGTTGTCCTCTCAGTCACCGCAGCAGCCACCGGCACTCCCGCGACATGTTGCTGTAGACTCTGGAGGTGTTGGTACTGGAGGTGCTGGGGTTGGAGGTACTGGCGCTGAGGGTACTGACACTAGGGGTGCTAGTCCTGAGGGTGCTGGTTCTGAGGGAGCTGGAGCTGAGGGTCCTGGGGGTGTTGGAGCTGCGGCTACTGGCACTCGAGGTGCTAGTTCTGGGGGTGCTGGCGTTGGTGGTACTGGCGCTGGAGGTACTCGTTCAGAGGGAGTTGGCGGTCAGGGCACTACTACTTCGTTGCCTCCTCCACCTCCTCACCGTCACGGCACGCATTTCCAGGCTGCTTCTCGGCGTGCGCGCGGGGAGCAGGAGCAGTTGGTGCGTGAGACTCTGGAGCTTGAGCAGCACCAGTTGGAGTTGCAGCGACAGGAGTTGCAGCAACAGCAGCAGCAGCAGCAGCAGCAGCAGCAGCAGCAGCAGCAGCAGGAGCTGCAGCAGCTGCAGCCACAGCAGCCCCAGAAGGCACTTTTGTAGCAGCGTTTCCAACCTGTGAGTGTTCTTTGGACCCTTGGTCTCCCTTCCGCCTCTTCGGACCACTCACCGCCTCCACCTGCTCCCGGTCTTCCTCCTCCGGACTCGTCTCCGGCTGTTGTCTCTCCTCCTCGTTCCCAACCCGCTCCTCCAGTTGTCTCGCACTCTCGTGTCCGCCCCTGTCCCCCGCGTGCTCGTTCCTCTTCTCCCGTTGACGACCTTCGCACTGCCCTTCTCTGTTATAGCCGTCGTCGTTCTCCGCTCGAGTCTTTTCTCCCGTCTCCTCCTGCGTCGTCTCTTCCTGTCTCCCCTACCCCTGTCTCTGACTACTACCGTACTTACCGTCCTGTTGCCTCCCGTGTTCTCGCCTCTCTTGCTACAAACCCTCGTGCCTCTCCGTCATCTGTGTCGGCTCTTACTGCCGCTGTTGCTGACTTTATTGCCACCCGCCGCTCTTGGTGAGTCTGCCCTTGGCTGTGATGTTCTAGAGGACAGGCAGTTTGAGCTGGAGTTCCTAGCAGCCGCTTCTCCCTCTCTTTGTGCCATGCTGCTAGCCCCTGAGGGAGACCACCGACTCCTCGCACATACCGTCAGGCAGTGTCAGGGCAGTGGGCCTCTCAGTGGGCCTCTTTCCGTGTGGTTCCTTAATGTGGTCTTCTCATTTACTGACTATTCTCTGCTTGTTTGTTTCGTTACCTTGTTGTGGCAGGCAATATTTGTTCACCTTATTTTGAAGTTGTGTTATGCGTTGGAGAAATGTGGGTCTGTTGCAGTGCTATTTGTAGTTGCGTGCCTTTCATGGCATATGGTACCATCTGGTGTTGCTCAGTGTAAGCAATTTTTTTTAATCAGTGTAATGATTATTTTTAGGTGCAACCAACAACTGTTCTAAAAACTGCTTGTACATCGTTGTGATTTAATGCGCATAAACACGCTTGTGAAATTGTATGGAAATGGGTGGTTCTTTTATCGTGTAACGAATAAAACACGTACGTATCAGTTTCCATGCAACGTAGTGTACTGAAGTGTACTGTGGTAGTGTGCTATTCAACAAATTG